CCAGAAAGGCTTCCAATGTCCTTGATCTTCTGCATTGTCATTGCAGTTTTGATATTTGCATGCCAAGGGTTGGCGTAGCAGAATGATCCCTGAGTTGAGCAGGGTCTTCTGGGAGTGGGCTCTTCTGACAGCATGCATGATGTGAGGGGAGCCATTTGACCTCACCAGGTAGAACCAATGTCTCTTCTATTCCCTTTTGTTAACTACCAGATGATTTCTCTTTTTTGTCCAGTCTAAAATCTTGTGATGTACTGTTTCTTTAAGAGCTCCCTAATATATATGTTCAATATGGTTAAGAGAAAATACTTTGAAAGACACTATTTACTTCCAACAACTCATAGGAAAATTTTAAATAGCACTTGACAGTAGCTTCCAACCCAGACCTTTGAGATGGACAAGCAGAGGGCTATATGAGAAGGAACCTAAGCTCTAGGGTCAAAACTAAAACTGCAACCTCGGACAAGTCACTTTACCTCTTTGGATTTGGGGTTTCTCATGGGTTTGTGGTCTGAAGTGAGATAATGCATTAAAAGCAGAGGCCATGAACATAGTCATCCCATATTTCTGAGTGACAGGCCCATGGGCGGAGGCCAGAGGTGGCTGGCACCATGCAGTAAGCACCTGCCTCTGGTCTGTGACCTTAGGGGGTGAGTGTTCAGTCACCCGGGCTTGCTACAGAAGTTGCTGTGCTTTTGTGTAGGGCTTGGCTAAATGGCTCCTTAGCATCTCTAATCTCCCTTTGGGGAATTTGCTAAGCTCCTACAAAGATCCTGCTGGGATTTCATCTCTAACTGTGATTACTGGGCTTCCGCTTCCTCGCATGGGAAACTGCACGGACTTGGTTCATGATCCAGTGTCAGGGCCTCCAGTTCTGATGAGCCGTCTGGTATGAAAAGCCACAAGGCAGTGTGGAAACTACGCACTGCAGTTATTCACAAGGTATGGCACACCCTCTACCTGGAAAGAGCCCAAGAGCAGCGTTTTTACAAGAGAAAAGAGGGTGAAGGAATACATGCAGTGGATTTATGTGTCCCCACCCCCAAATCCAGTGCTGAAACCCTAATGTCCACATGGCAGTATAAGGAGTGGGAAGGTGGTTAGGTCATGAGGGTACATCCTCTTGAATAGGATTAAAGTCCCTATAAATGGGACCCCAGAGAGCCTTGCCCTCCCTTCCACTGTGTGAGGACACAGTGAGAAGTCAGGGTTCTTCATCCTTGAAGCAGGTCCTCACCAGAACCCAACCACACTGGTGTGGAACTTTCAGCCTCCTCCAGAACCGTGAGAAACAGTGTGCCATTTCCAAATCCCCCCAGCCCATGGGGCTTTGTAACAGCAGCCCCGGCTGACTGAGACAGTGGGAGAAGGAAGAACCCTCAACAGAGGGCCACCAGGAGATCTGATTTCACTGGGTAGAATCAGATGATTGTCAGAGTGTCCTCTTCCCTTCGGCACTAAGTATGGGTAGGGAGAGGTATAAGGCAACAGATGGGGTCTGAGATAAAAAAACCTTTTCTTAGGAAGTTTTTTGATAATAATAATCTCTTTTATTTGAGTAGCACTATTATAAAATGCTTTCCTTCTATTTTTCACTTAATGTCCATAAGATACTATGAAGAATAGAAGGCAGTGGGCTAAATCTCCTTAATTTCAGGTGTGAAGATGAAGTTGTTGAGTCCCTGCGGTTTGGCAACCTGTCTGAGGTCCCTTGGCTGGTGGATGGGAAGCTTAGGGTCAGGTCCAGGTCCTAAGTCCATAGTTCTTCCTGTTGCGGAGTTCCTTCATGGTATCCCTGCCAGACAGCCCATACTCTAGGGGTACATTGTGTTGTAACATCCCAGAAGAGGGTGTCACAGGGCAGCAAAGATGCTGGTCCTGCCTATGCCACCATGGCACTGGCTGAAGGACTTAACTTCCTGTTACCCACACAACATCCGCCACCAGCCTTGCCCTGCCACCCCTGCCTAGCCTGGTAGAAACATCCAACAGGAAAGGCACAGGGGAAGGGAGTCTGCAGTTCAGCAGAGAGCTGTAAGGGAACCCCACTTCCATTTCCACCCCCTTCTGTAGTTGGACTTGCATATGCATGTGTGGTATGACTGGCATGTTTACTTTTTCTAAAATCCAAAGCTCTAAATTGAGATCTGATTAATCATTATGACAGGGCAAGGAAAGAGTAGAGGGCAGCCCTTACCAACAGGGACCCCTGAGCAGCCTCCACACATCCCACACACAGGATGTGACTCACACATCCCTGGGGATGAGGCAACACCCATCTGATGCCATTCAGACCTTCCCCGAGAGCCTGTTGAGATGGCACAAGAAAGCGCTGATAGCATCTCACTTAAGGAGCAGGGGTGATATAGTTTAAAATGCAAACATATGATTAATATTCTGAAGACACAAAAAGTCTCATGGACAATACGTTGAATTTGTCCAACGCACCATCGGCATGCTGTGACAGAAGCAACTGCTGGTCCTTTTCAAAGTGTATTAGGTAGGGCACTACTGAAATGCAGGGAGGCCCCTTCAGAAGCCCTGCAGGTGGGCATTATCAGGAACCTGTTGGGAGGCATCTGCCTTTATTTTTCTTTCCTAGATAATTTGATTGCTTAAAGTAATTCAAATGTAAATGTCTTTGATTCCCATGAAAAGTTGCAAAGATATAAAGTTTCACATTATTTATCTATCTATTTATTTATTTATTCATATTAGGGTGGAACCAGGGGCACTCTATGACTTAACTACATCCCCAGTCCTTTTTAGTGTATTTCAAGATAGGGCCTCCCTAAATTGCCAAGGCTGGCCTAGAACCTGTGATCCTCCTGTCTTAGCCTCCCCAGTAGCTGGGATTACAGTGTGAATCACCACACCTGGCTTTAGTATAAATTCTTTACAAAAGGGTGTAAGTGTTTTTGAGGCTGTTTGCTGATTATCACTACACACACTCACACACACACACACACACACACATACTCACAAACTGTTCTAAGAGGCAATATTTTAGCTGTTGAGAACACAACCTTAGAACTGGATTGTGTAGATTAAATCCTGGCTCCTACTCTTACTAGCTGTGAGACCTTGGGCAAGCTGCTTAACCACTCTGTCCCCTTTCCTCATCTGCAGAAGGGAGATAATGGTGCATACCTCATGGGTTATTAGAAGGATTAGATGGATTAAAACATGTAAGGCACTTAAAACAGTGTCTGGCACACCGCCAGAATAATCTCTTGAATTAATTGACTGCTTACTGCCACTTTTTGAATATTTCAAGGTTCCAATGCTGTTACATGTCATCAGGAACAAGTCTGTCAATTTCTCTAATTTCATTTACACATTCTGAAGGAATAATATTTTGTTGTAGGCAAATCTCTTTGAGAAGCTGCTCCGTGAGAATCATTTGCAGCCTGGTCATGGGGAATGGTGAGGGTTTGGAAAGTCTAGAAGGAAGAGGGCATCACCTGGGACTCCCAAACAGAAACTCATTTTGCATAAGAAAGCAGAGCAAATGGAAATTCCAGGGTTTGCCATGTGGAGGCTGCTCCAAGTAGAAAGACCTCAAGGAGTAACCTGTGAGTTCTAAAAATTAATTTTGAATCCAACTAAGCACAGAAATTGATGGTTTCGTTGCAGATTGGATGAAAAAACTACCAATGCCAAAGGGAAAGTTAAAAATCCCATGGCTCAGGATGCCTTTTGTCAAGTGAACCCACATTCTCATCTCATGTGTCACAGGAGATGTCTCCTAACGTCAACGGATTATGCACATAAGACAAATTACAAGACGTAGCCTGTCACAAGTGCTAGAATTAAATCTGCCATACGCACGTCACCAGTAATTGCCTTTGCAGATTATTGCTTCAGCTGCCCTTTGTCCCATAGATGCTCCAACTCTATGCTTCCAAGTCAAAGCCAGAGCATGGTTCAGAGTTTGAGGGACCAGGAAACTTCAGGAAGGCTTGCAGGAGCTGTCAAGGGGGCCCTTCTGCATTGCAGAGATCTATGGGGGTCGTTCTCATTGATATAGAAATCATCTTTATAATTGGGTTCTTTCAGAGGCCTGCTTTCTCATCTCAGACAAACAGGCTTCAGCCTGAATACTCATCCACCACACTTGGAATTTACTATGTTAGTCACCTCTAACAATCTTCAATCTGGAAACTGCCTCTGTTCTTTGGAGAATAATTTTAAGAAAGATGGGTAAAACATCACGAGAGCATACCCTTTGCAGTGCCCTGAATAACACTTATTAACCATTCATTTGGCATCCATCCTTTCTATTTTGAATTAAGGCAGAGAGGTTTATTGTCTGCCTCTTATGCACCATTAACCAAACCAAAAAAAAAAAGAAATCGAGAACAAGAATCCTTTACACACAGGATGCCACGCGTGGTCACATGATTCCAGTGACCTGAGGCAGGGAAGTCTTCTGGTTAAGAAATCAGATAAAAATATAATCCTGTGTCCTGCCATTTGTTGTTCTCAACTTGGATGTCCTCTCATAAGCTCAGGTTCGTACCTTAATACTAAGAATCAGTAGGCTAAACAGGAACACACATGCCCCAATCATTCTCAAAAGTTGCCAGTAATCTCTCAACATATACAGAGCTCCAACTCATTAGATGAAGGATGCCAGCCCTCTAGGATCTACCATTAGAATAAGTGCATTTCTCAGGCAGAAAGAAATTCAGCCAATATATTGGTCTACTGAGCTTTGACTCAATCCTACTTACAAAAAGCTAGTATGAGACTTTTTAAAAATGCATAGCTATCTGTTCAGAATTGAAGGAACAAATGTCAAAAATTCTTAGGACCTCAATGAAAGAAAAAATTTAAAGCAAATATTCAAACAAGATTGACTTCCCTCATGCTGCTCATTGGACGGCTACTCTCTTGCAATGATTTTCTCTGAGGCCAGAAAATGATTCATTCTAACAGGAATCCTGGTACCTTCCATGAGAGGCCTTTAGGGTGACCCAGATAAGGAAAAACAGACCAGCCAAAGTTTAATTCAGTTTTATTGTCCACTTTTAGTATTTTTCAAATTATACAACATGCAGTCTGCCAGAATATCCATACATCTTCATTTTAGAACCTAGGAGATAACCAAAATTTTCCACGGGCCAGGGGAGGGATACTTCTGAATCTTTTGTGACATATGTTGTATGGTGTCACTCATTGATACAAACTGCCATCTCCCCCTCAAACCACCAAAACAAGTTTGTCCACAACTTTTTTTTAATGAAAACTACTGTACAGATACATAAAGTCCAAAAAACACACATCTGCAGTACACGTGACACACTTTACAAACTAGACATATGTAATTCTACAGAATGCCCTATTCCCCTTGTGTTTGCACACAATGAAAAGTATTTAAAATTGATACACAATTTTTAAGTAAGCACATTTCATGGACTGTTGCCTCCTTCAGCAGTTACCTGGCCCTCGTTCAATACTTTTTTTAAAAAGTCTAAATTGTTAAGTGTTAAATGAAGCAATTTTGGACTATGATGGTTTCTTTCACTTGCTTAAGAAACTCAAGAGTGGGACAATGAAGTGAAATCGTCCCCTGACCTCTACCAATTAAAAACTTCCCCAGTGAGTCTTGTATCTAGAGTCCAAATGGCTCCTGCCCTGCTACAACATATACACAAAAGAGGGGATTGTTAGGAGCTTTTATTAGCTTTTAGTTATTCCTACAGGAAAGTGGAGCTGAAAAGTTCCCCGAGTCCCAGTGATGTCTTGGTTTTGTTTCAACATGAACATCACTCCCTTATATGCACTTGAGGGCTTCAGCAAGTCACTAGATGCTACATTCCAGAAAAACGTTTCTTCATTTATCCCAATACTTCTCTAAATTCTGATTTTCTTAACCACATGATTCTATTTCCTTTAAGAGTCTTAAAACTCTTATTGTCCTGCCTACTACCTGCCATTCAACCAAAGCAAACTAAATAGAATTTGAAGATATGATACATGTATATAGAATTCTCTAGTAATTAACCAAAGCACATTTGGCATTAATATATTTTGGTTCCCAACCATTCATCTTGCTATCTCAAACACCATTCCTCTAATTTAGCAATCCACCATCCTGCAGGTAGAAATTACTTTTAGAAACTATCTGGCTATTCTCTTATAGCATGAAAGAGCAAACTTTCAAGAAGTAGCATGAAACATAAAATTATTCAACAGAGAAACACACACATACACACACACACACACACACACAAGCAAAAAGCACATATAACCAAAACACAATCCTAAACTTGGCTGTTCAGACATTTGGAGTATAAGGAGCAAAAGTCTAAAAGTAAGAAAATTGCATAAATGTGGCATTTTTTAAAGAAGTGGCCTAAGAGTATATGGTCTTGATATAATAACTGGCATATTACACAAAGTAATATCTAGGGTCCATTTAAATAAACTCTGTAATCCTTTCCAATGATCTGCCCGCCTTTTGGGACTGTGGAGGAAAGCTGGCTTAGTAGTCCTGTAAAGATTGGAGCTAGATGAACTGACTGGCTGATCAGCAACTAGCAGAATTATCTTTAAAAGACATGAAAGCCAACTTCCCCTGTGAATAAAAGTAAAGCAAATTTTGCAAGACCCTCATAGAGATCAAGTAAGGTGGAAGTACAAGCAAATGTTTCTTTTTGAAACATGAAAGGGCCAAGCAATTCTTCAGAAGTACAAAAGGGGCACCCTGGTAAAAATTACTTTGGAAAGAATCTAAAATAATGTATTTTATGACAGATATTAACAAAGGCAGAGAGAGAGAGAGAGAGAGAGAGAGAGAGAGAGAGAGAGAGAACGCTTCTGACCCTTGCTCAATTTCCAAACACAAAGAAGTATAGTTGCTTAATGACAATGTTAAGTAACATGTATGACAATTGTTTAATTGTCAATCCTCTGAAAGACCAATGTTTTAGCTTCCAGAGTCAGAGGCAAACATATCAACAGCAAGGTTATAATCTGTGCCATATGTTATTACCTGACAATGTGTGTAAAACTTGCCCTAAAAGGACCCTCCTATCAGACAGAGAAAATTGATCAAGCATTAGCTGGGAAGACATTGACAATGAAACCAAACAAATAAATGAACGAATGCAAAATTGTCATCTTTATGAAACAAATACTTCAGTAGAATTCATCTTCCTCACTCCCTTCAAACACAAAACAAAACACACAAAGACAAACACAACATTTAACAAATAACTTAAGCAGCATTGCTTTGCTAGGGAAATTTTATACATGATGAGTTGGAAGTCAACACATGGTCCTTAGCACCCCCCCAACACACACACACACACACACACACACACACACACACTCAATCTTTAACCCACAAGACCATGAGAAAGCCCAAAGTCTCCCCTGGCATATACTTCATTCCAATGGTGACAGCTGCAGGGGACAGTGCCAGCCCACACATCTTGGGCATGTATATGGTAGGATGCTTTCAGAGATTGGTTGGGTCGTCACCAGCTCTCCCCTAAATTTGTCGTAACAAGCAGCAGCACACAAGATCAACATACTTGAATCCTTATCAGTTCCCCTGAAAATTTGACTACTTGGAAATGCATCCTTTTAATATGCCCAACTGGAAGTAAGGAAGTCAGTTCTAGATTCGTGTATTTGAATAAACTAAAAGCTAAATGTAAAAAAAATCCATTTATACTTATTTCTTCTAATTGTGCCTAAAGGAAGATAAAGCTTATCTTTAAGAGAGAATTGAAATAAAGAGTCTGCAATCATGGGTTAAAATAACAACTTTTTCATGGCAACTTGTTCATAGACAGGCACAAATTTTGTCATTTACTCTCCCCTCGTCCCCAGGGCTTTCTTTTTCAGCTGCTGGAATGACGCTGGATTTCTTTGCAAGGCCTCCTCAAGCTTAAGATGGCTCCCTAGGGAAACAGGCCATCCCAGATGCAAGCTCCCCAGAAGGATCAGGGAGGAAGCAAGAGGGGGGGTGGCCCCATCTCCACTCATCCAACTTTGCAGCATTTTCAACACTTGTGAAGGAATGAAGTTCAAACCAACTGGGCCAGCAGAGACTAGTCACTGCAGGTTCAATAGCAAGCAGCTCGGAGGTGAATTTATGACTTCTTGCATTTACATAGATGGGTTTGAATGAACAAATTCTACATTGCTATTGTCAGATTGTTTTTCTGCCTTGAAGAAATATGCTTTGCATTTTAACAGGTGCCATACTAAAAGGTGTATTTTACAGATCCAGAGATGTGACCAGGATATTCAAAATGCTCCTTAGGGGTAATTTGTTTTCGGAAAAGTGTTCTGAATGAAAATTTTGAACCCTATAGCAGCATTTTTTTTTTGTTCCCTAAAAATATAAAGTCATGTGTTTATTTTACAGGAAACCAGACAGTTGAGGCAGAGTGTGATCGCCTGCCTCCGCGGCACTTGGTTGTTCCCCTCCAGGGAATGGCACATCAGGGTGTTCCGGGGGGACAGTGTACTGCCAGAGGCGGCTCCAGGATGCCCAGAGACCACCCAACGCCCCAGAGGCTCAGGCAGTGGAAGTAGTTTTGAGTAGTAAGTGGATCTTCTGGAATCAGCTTCCGATTTCTCACAAAGAGAAAAATCCAAGCACACGTCTGTACACACAGAAATTCTACACAGCTCAAAATACCTGAAACTGGCATACTGCAGATGGCTGGGGTAAGCAAGTGTAAAAGAAAATGGAAATTGTGTAGGAAGGGGAAAAAATAAAGGAGTTGGTGTAGTAGTAGTCCTTGACATGCTACGTGGAATCATATCTGTTGAGAGAGAACCAAAGAGAGAACATAGGAGTTAGAGAACATAACGTCGAAAGTCACTCCTCAGAAATTATTTTTAATTCTAGAGTTTTAGATCAGAGCTGTCCACTAAAAATATAGTGGGATCACATGTTTAATTTTGATTAAAATTTTAAAATGGAAAGAAACAGGTGAATTATTTTTAGTAATGTGTTTTATATAATGCAATAGATTCAAATTTCAACATGAAATTAATATCTGGAGATATTTGACATGAACAGATTACTCTTGGGACATTGATACTATTTTTCACTTCCAGCACATCTCAGGGCTTATGAATGATTCCAGTGCTCGTAGACACATGTGGCTAATGGCTAACTGATTGACAATACTGCCTCCTATGTCCTGGTTGAGGTATTTTGTTCTGACAGTCTCAACATTCTCTTCCAAGTCAGGATCTGCTGAGCCAATGTCCATGGTAGTAACACAGAGCCCTGCCGAAGGGGAGATCAACGATATTGCTCATTTGCCAGCATTTGGCATTGCCAGTCAGGTCAGGCTGGACCCCTCCCACCTCCCACTCCAGCTGGCTCTAGAAATAGGTTCCCAGTTCTGAGGAAAGTGGAGTAATAAAGTTCCACCAAAGACCAGCCCCTTTGATTTCATTCCCCTTTGCATCAGAGGTGCATCTGGTTAGACCAGGTCTCCTGAGAGCCTGGACCAGTCCTGCCCTGGAGGACAGCCCCAAGCAGCCTTTCTCAGCCTTTGGACTTCCTCCAGTAAGCTGGAGATGCTGGAAGGCTCAGCTTCCTCCAGCAGCTAAGACCTGAATCTGTGATATGACCTGTGCATTTGCAGCAGAGCTCAGTGTCCTGGGGGGACAAAGAGGAGAGGATGGGTGGATAGAGCCTCTTCCTTGACAAACTAACAGAATTGCCTGGTACAGGAGATGCCAGACACTGAGCTCAGCTCCTCCTCTGATTTAAAAAGAGCCCCACAACCTGACACACTGCTCTTCCAGTTTGCCTCTAGAAAGCTTCACTCATTTATATATGATACTATCGAGGCAAACTCACATATTCTGTATAAATAAGCAGGATGTAAATTATATTTAAATAGATAATTTCAGGGTATGGAAAGGGATTGTAAAAGTAGTCAGGAGCAAAGTGGTGGGCAAAAAAAAAGAGAGAGAGAGAGAAAAGAAATATACAACAGAAACAGAGCAGGAAAAAAAGAGAACTGCACATTATTTTCAAGAATACCAATTCCTCCCCAACACAAAAAAATAAATATTTGGGAACCCATTTGGTAACCACCACTTCTCACTCTAACAGTATCATCTCCACAATTCCAAAGGGCCAATTAAGAAGGTTTGAGCAAATTTACATGGTGATATTATATCATTTTTAAAAGTCACAGAGAGAAAGATTTAGTCCCTAGAAAGAGTATATTTAACATTTAGCCTTTCTGGTGCAATTCCATGCTTCTTGTTAGGTCCGGAAATGAAAAACCTAAAAGCACGGTCATAGTTGTCATTTAAAATCCATCTTGAGCTGAAAACCAGTGGGAATGCTTTTTCAATACCACCACTGAAATCCCCTGTTCACTTCTTTCAGGTTCATTCTTCTGAGCACACTCTCCCCGGGTGAGGGGACGGTCTCCTGTGTGCCTGGAGGCGGGGAGGTGCTGGGCACATACCTTACATTGTTGGATTATGGCTTGATGCAAAGATTGCAGCCAACCCATGTTGACACAGCAAGCATTAGACACACAAACTCCACAGCACAGCCTCAATAACTCCAGCAGACCATGAAGTGACATGATTGCTACCAGAGGCCTTTCATCTGGGTCCCCCACTCTCCCATTGTGCAAGATCCAACATGTTTGGGCTAATAGTCTGAAGGAAACAGGGGGCCACAAAGGAGGCCCAACCTGCTTAGTTTGGTCACCTCAAGAAAGTGAGAGAGACCTAAGACTGTGACACCACTGAAGGGAAAAACAGGGAACCCACCTAAACAGGGTCCCATCTCTTTCATGAAGAGGCTGTTCCTCTCTCTTCATCCCCATTTGAGGATCTTTATGGGCCCATCTTAAGTCTTTCTAGCAAATCCCCTTCCCAAAATGAATTCAACCAGGAAACTCCCACCCAGCCTCCCCACTTTCTGGATGTCCATCTCCTCTGATAAATTCAGGGAAGGAAGTGGAGATATTTTGAAAGTTAATTGTTTATTCCCAAGAGAGACCATTTCTAGTCAGAGAGCCTCTCCCATCCAAGAGAGAGGCTGGGGGAATCTTGAGATTTAAAATACATTCCTGTTGACCCTCGCTTAGATGCTCAGAGAACTCACTCACCCAGTGACAGAGGACTGGACCAAATGACACACTAGTGGACTGGCCCTGAGGCAATTCAGAGTGGCAATGTGTGAGCAGAGTTAGAAGGAAATAAAAATCCTTTCTTTAGAAGGGGTGGGGAAGGCTGAAGAAAGAAGCTAATCATATGTAAGAATTTTACAAAAAGTATTTAGAGATTCCAACCCCCTGACTTTAGCTTTTGCAATTGCTTACAGTGGATTTAAGCTTAATCCAAACAGTACATAGTTTTATCTTTTCTTTTGTCTTTCTATAATTCAATCCCCATATTATAAGAATCACCAGTTATACTTTTCTCGTGTCTGCCAAACAGGGGGGGTATTCATCTCACTCCAGCTTTGGTACACTCTGCAGTGGAGGAACTGTTAGAGGTGTTCAGAATTTATGACTCTTGAGAAACAGGACATGAAGAAGTATTAAAGTCCGGCAGTCCAGTGCACTGTAGACCAAGTGGGGGACTCTTTCTTCCAGGTGTTGTGCAAGTGGCTCTTTGAATTTAGGACACATTTCAATGCTGCCTGCCTGACCTCTTTCCCTGAAGCACATAGGTTTTATTTATTTTTTATTTGGTTTGGTTTTATCTCTCTCCACCCCACCATTGCCCAGTGGTAGTGGGGATGGAACTCAGGACCTCACAGATGCTAGGCAAGTATTTACCACTGAGCTATGTCCCGAGCCCCGGCTTCGTCTAATTGTAGGCCTGTCCCATTTGATCACTGCAACATTAGTTAACACCTTAGCATTTGTGAGGGCCTACTTTTTGCCAGGTATTTCTCTAGGAAATTTTTTCTCTCACACATATATAGTATCCAATTCAATTTCCAGGCAAGTCTGTGATGTCAGTGCTATGACCCCATCTTCTCCAGGATACAGTCTTCTTAGCTGTTCAGTAGCCAAGAATGTTGTCTGGAGCGACAAGACTTCTGTTCATGCACTTCCACCAAAATAGCACACAGCCACAGACAGAATGCAGAAGCAGCTAGGAAAACCCAGCTGTTGTCTATTAAGCCAGACACAGAAGACATTTGCAAAAATGTAAAGCAATGCCATTTAGCCAAGGTTTTGAGGATTTTTTTTAATAGTTACTTTTGATTAAAATAGCATGTATGGGCTTACTATTACTTTTAGATGAATCTTGCAGTATTTTAACATTTAATTTTATGGTATCTATGGATACGTACAACTCACAAATATTAAAGCCTTTTGATGCCATTGGTCTTTTTTTAAGAGTACAAAGAGTCCTAAGGCCAAGAACTTTGAAAACTGGTACATGACCAGAGTTCTTGGTTCAGGAGCCTCAGCCTTCTGCTGTAGGATCCCGATGGCTCACCCTCCTCTTTGGAGAATTCAGAGAGTAGATTAGATATTGCAGACAACCCGGGCCAGCACTGCCTGCCCATCCTGTGCTGGACCTAGTCTAAGCCGGTGTGTTCCTTAATGTGTTCAGTCCTCACAGACACCCTGTAAGTAGGTACTGGGCACACTTTACAAAGGAGGACACTGAGGTATAGGGAGACAAAATAAATCACCTAGTATGTGAGAATCAGGATTCAAACCCAAGCACAGTCCCACCGTACAACCCAAGCCCACGGTCAGCCAGCTCCCCTGCCTGTAACAAAGCCTTCCCTATGTGCAAATTCTTGTACTTCAATCACTAAATGCTAGGATTTTCAAACAGCAACAGCAAGACGAATGGCCCGATGTTTAGATGTGTGAATGTGTGGCTGAAGGAACCCTTTGTACCACTGGGGTTCTTGTCAATGAGACTTCTTGGCTTCACTATTTCTGAGGGCTAAACCCGAAAATAACTCCTCATCCACCCTCCAGGTGTGGACCTACGTCAGTGTGTTCCTCTTAGTCATATATGGTATTTACTTGTGATTGGGATGTCAAAACCAAAAGGGTCAAGGAGGACATTGGTGCGAGAGAAGAGGAATTCAGGTATTAAGTTACAAAACAGAAAGACTAAGAGTGAGTCAGAGAGGGAAACAGACCAGGGTACAAATGAGCAAGTGCCAGGCTAGGAAGCTGGGCCTGAACCCAAGGACACACCAAGGTCCCAAATGGGAAGGACCTTGATATTGCAGTAGCCAATTGACTCCAGAGGAAACTGCATTCTGCCTGGGGTGGAAAGAGGAAAGCAGGAGAGGGGGAGGGACAGTGCGGGGTTCAGAGAAGGGTGGGATTTTCTCAGTTCACACAGCAGGTGAAGTGGACCAAAATTCAGGGCTTCAGCTGAGGTTAGTGGGTACGCAGGAATGGCCAGGTGCACCCAAGTCAAGGACACCTGAGGTTTAAAGGTTAGGTTACTGAACACTGAATTTCCTATCTCTGCTATACATCTAGAATCTCCCTGACAGCGTGGTACTTGCTGTGACAAGACTTCTAGGATTAGAAAGTAATCTCTGCATTCCCAGCTCCTGGCCGTAGTGGGGTGTATAGGGTCTTGATTTAACATCTGAGCAGCCATCTTATATGTTAACCACCTTCATATAAGTTTCAATTTCCTTTTACCTGAACTTTTACCTGAACTCCCCACATGCCCATTAGTGACCTCCCCCATGTACCATAACCCTAGGCCAATCCCAGAAGGACATGACTCCTTGACTCTGGAAAGCCCCATGGTGCCATCAACCTAAACCAATCCCAGG